GGAGGTCAGCTCTGTCCTGTGTCCTGTGGGGGGCTCAGAGGTCAGCTCTGTCCTGTGCCCTGTGGGGGGTCATGGAGGTCAGCTCTGTCCTGTGCCCTGTGGGGGGCCATGGAGGTCAGCTCTGTCCTGTGCCCTGTGTGGGTGGTCCAGAGGTCAGCTCTGTCCTGTGTCCTGTGGGGGTAGTCCAGAGGTCAGCTCTGTTGTGTCCTGTGGTGGGGTCATGGAGGTCAGCTCTGTCCTGTGCCCTGTGGGGGGTCGTGGAGGTCAGCTCTGTCCCTACATGGGACGAGGGGAGGGCCCTGAGGCCCATCTCACCCCCAGAGCGCTGGGGAGCTCACCCCAGCCACCTGCTGGGGGGCCTGGGGCCGCTGGGCGGGGCAGGGACCACCTTGGGTCCCCAGGGCGCCTGATCCCTGCTGTTGGCCTTGACCACGGTCCGCACACAACGCCTCGGTCAAGTGTGAGCGCATGCGCTCCCAGAAGCCCCGGCGGCGCCCGGACGCCTGCCATGCCTTCCACCCCGAGGTGAGGGGGGCCGGCCATGGGGGGGCTCCTTCCCACAGACAGTGCGTCCTGGGGGCTCCTTCCCACAGACAGTGTCCCTGGGGGCTCCTTCCCACAGACAGTGTCCCTGGGGGGTCCTTCCCACAGACAGTGTCCCTGGGGGGTCCTTCCCACAGACAGTGTCCCTGGGGGGGGTCCTTCCCACAGACAGTGTCCCTGGGGGGCTCCTTCCCACAGACAGTGTGTCTTTGGGGTCACAGTGGGGGTCCCCTGCAGGCGGGTCGGGGCAGGGCCCCACACGCTCTCCTTGGGTCTCAGGAGAACGCGCAGGACTGTGGAGGCGCCTCGCACACCCGGCCCTCACTCCCGCTGCTCCTGCTCACCACGTGGGGATGGCTGCCGGCGCCCCGGCTGCTGTGACCCCACCATGCTGACTGCGCTGGGCCGGGGCGTCCGTGCGGAGACCCTGCACACCAGCAGCGCCCGCCGGCCGCCTGCAGCCACACCCAGACACCCCAGAACCTGCCCCAGCGCCCCGGAGGCCGGCAGCCCCCCCTCGCCCCCACCCACCGGGGGGACGTGCTCACAGTCTCCAGATGACCAGGGAACACAGCCCAGGCCCGACCCGCCAGCAGGACGGGGGAGGGGGTAGCAAAAAAGCAGGGGGGAGGAGGGGGGGAAGGGCGGAAGCAGGAGTGTCTGTGGCTCCACGTGGGAAGCCCTGAGGACCCGTCCCCTGGACAGGGAGCACTGAGCTCAGAACGGACGTCACCGGTGCTGAGGACCCGCCCCCGGCGGAGGGAGGAGGGACAGGGAGCACTGTGCTCAGAACGGACGTCACCAGTGCTGAGGACTGACGGCCAGACCTCCATTTCCCTAAGGCAGGGAGGCCGGCGTGTCCCCTCAACCCACGGGGGCCAAGCCCGGGAGCCCCAGAACCCCAGCCTCTCCCGGCAGCTGAGGACCTCACGCAGGCCCTCAGGCCCCCATGGCTGGACTTTTGGGGTTTGTGGGGGATGAGGCTTGACCTCAGGGTCCGGCGCTGTCCCTGAGCTTTCTACACTTGAGCCACGGCGCCACGGCTGCTTTTCTGGTACATTTACTGGACATAAAAAGATCTCACGGGCTTCCCTGCCGGGCTGGCTTTGAACCGCAATCCTCCCACCTCCGCCTCCCGAGTAGCCAGGGTGACAGGCGGCTGCTCGTATCGTCAATGACGCGGAGCGACCCCCTCTCCTTCCCCCGCGGGGACCGGGCAGTAAAGCGCACGGCACACGGCTCAGCTTCCGTTTGGCTTTTTATTAGAGAAACCGCGAATACAGCAAGTAAGAACCCCCGTGGTGAGCGGAACCCCCATCCGGCGCCTTCCTGGAATCCCGACCTTCCACGACACCCCAAAATGTGCTCTGTGGCTTCAGCGAGCTGCGGTGGGGAGGGCAGGGGAATACTGAGAAAGGCCACCGTGGAATGGAGAAGCAGGCGCCGCGGGGCCTGGCCGCCGGGAGTAAGGCACGCGGGCACCGGCCTGGCG